GCTTGAGCCACAGGCGCCGAGCCTCTTTATAAGTTGAATGATAGTCCCTCAAATAATCTATTACTCTTGTTTTCTAGACCTTTGTTCTATTTTGTTAAACATTGCTTAATCCAGCTAAGAGATAGGCCATTTTAGCAGAAGGGTGTCTGATGAAAACCCATTTAATTTCTCTTCAATAACTTCTCAGGCAATCCTTGAAACGGTTAATATTTTCTAAAATCTGTTTCAAGAAGAGAAATTTTGAGAGGAGCACAGAAAGTAAAGTGGTAGTGTATTTTTTAATCGATATTATTTAATAATCAACTGGATGAAGAGTATTTTTTGACTCCATAGAAAATTGATTTGGTTTAAAAAAAATTACTTTTCTTGTTTTGAATAACAACCCTTTTTTGAAAAAAAATCCCTTAATAGTGCTTTTTTAAATATTTGGATTCTACCAAAATAAAACACTTTGTTAATCAAATGGTAGTTCCTTAAATTGCATACTTTGATTCAGTGACAGTGAATTTCCTGGTGGAAATTTTATTTTCTCTTAAGCGGAATCCACTGTTGTTAATATCACCAGCTCAGCCAAAACAGAAGGAAATTTAATGTGCATGTTAAAGAGAAAATGCTGACATACGACTCTAAAAAGTCTCTGAAATTCTACATACAACTTCTCATGTCAGATATTAAACAGAAAATTTAATTTTTACCCTGTCTTCTGTGTCTCCTGGTGTATTTTAGTGTCATTTTAAAGAACGTTGGGGGGTTCTGAGTTCTAGGTCTATGTGCCTGTGTTGTCTGTACAAGCTTCCCATTCTTTCTTTCTTTCTTTATTTTTTTCAAACGTGGCTCACCATTCGCTGTGCCATGGCTGTTATGTGAGGACTGAGTAAGCTGTGGGTGAGAGGTTGTGTGTGTGCACACAGGCGCCCGTGTGTTTGGGCTTTTTTAACAGAGCCCTTCCTCTATAGAGTCTTTGGGTCAGCTGTCACACTGGTGCTTTCCTGCTTTGTTCTTTGAGTTGCTGGATGACTGGTGACTGACTGGACACTGGAAAGGAACACTTTTAACGGATTAGTGCAGGGGCCCTCCTGGCCTCTCTTTCGCCCACACTGTGGCAGCTGCACTCCGCCCTTTTGGTGGCCCTGCTAGGAAGGGAGTGTGTGTGGAGCAATCTGCCGTCAGCAGGCATTAACGTGGGATGAGCTCTTTCCAAGGAAACCCTTTGTCAAGGCCGGCCCACATGGGGAAAGTGTTTCTATGCTTGGATCTTGTAACTCTGCCTGGGTTTGTTTTACGAGGGCAGGAGAAATCTAACTCAGAAAACAAAGTTGTTGTGTGCCTCCCTTCTTACCTGCCCTTCCTTTTGGTACTCCCACAGACTGCAGTTCCTGTCCAGAGATCACTATTGTTCCACCTTGTCCCACAACCAGCACAACCACACTGGTGGGTCAGAATGTACGCGAGGAAGAGGCTCAGGGAATAAATGGGAGGGCGCCAGCAAAGCACGCAGCTGCCAGTCTCAAGCCACAAGGTATGTTGTGGGGGCGGGGGTGGTGCCTGCGACGGGGCGGGGGCTTTGTTGACCAGTAAAGGTGATCCAGAAGCATCAGGAACCACAGAAAAGGAGTTTTAAACTATAAAAGGGAGCAACTGCGTATATCCTTTTTTGAGAGAAGAATCAATCCATGAACCTTCTCAGGCAGAGGTTTGGTATTTGTTCTGCTCCTGAAACAATGCACACATTTCTCTACAGTGGTTCCTTTCATGTTGCCGAAAGTGTTCTCTGTGATCTCTGCATGCAGTGCCCCTGACCTAGCCCAAGCCCTCATTTACTGTCAGTGTGATAAATGCTTTTGGGACCACCGTCAAAAGGAAATGACTTGCCAGGTGCCTGAGGGTCTGCGCAACGCGTAATTCTAAAACGGCACTGGACTACTTAGCAAGAACGTTCTTTGATAGTGTTAAGGACCTGGGGCTGGAAAAATCTTGCGGTAAGGTCATCCTCAGAAATGAAAAGTAAAAATCCCTCCGTTCAGGATTGCGTGGCCAACAAGGGGAAAGAAAAAAAAATACAGCTTTGAATGTTTTATTCACTGACCATTTCCTTTTACCAAGAATCTTCCAGTGAACTGGATATTAACTTGGAGAGGCACAAACATAGCATTTTAATGATTGAGAGCAAGGCCTTTTGGAATGGAACACATGAGCTAAACTGTGGTCATATATGATTTCTTCCTATTAAATATGCATTTGTAACGGATGCTGAACATTCAGCCAAGGGGGGCATTTTTAGAATTACTATACTTTGGAAAAATCACTTTCTATTTTATCTTTATTTTTTGAGACAGAGTCTCACATCATTACCCTTGGTAGAGTGCTGTGGTGTCATAGCTCACAGCAACCTCAAACTCTTGGACTCAAGCAATTCTCTTACCTCAGCCTCCCAAGTAGCTGTAGAGGCACCCACCACAACGCCTGGCTATTTTGTTGTTGTTGTTGTACTTGTAGTTGTCATTGTTGTTCAGCAGGCCCGGGCTAGGTTCAAACCCACCAGCCCTGGTGTAAGTGGCCGGCACCCTAACCCCTGAGCTACGGGTGCCGAGCCAATTTCTATTTTATTTTGTGTTTAGTTTGGTCTTTTTCCTGTTCTTGCCGAGAAAAAAAGTCTTATAGAGAATTCATTAGAAAAGAACTGATGTTATTCTTTAAAGCATGTTTTAACAATTTTTGAAAGATAATTTAAAAATGATTTTAAAATTAAATCTTCTATATTATTGGATATTAGTCTTCTTGTTCTTACTACTGGTTATGTTTGTGGTGGTGATGGGGTATTGTTATCAAGTAAAGTCAAGTAATTGGCAGTTCTAATGAATAGCCCAGGCTGGCATGGTGTCTCACACTGGTAATCCAAGCACGTTGAGAGGCCCAGGCAGGACGATCCCCTGAGCTCAAGAATTCAAGATCATTCTGAGCAAGACCAAGACCCTGTCTCTACTAAAAGTAGAAAAACTAGCCAGGCATTGTGGCAGGCACCTATAGTCCCAGCTACTCAGGAGGCTGAGGCAGGAGGATCGCTTGCGCCCAAGATTTTGAGGTTGCTATAAGCCAGACTGAGGCCACGGCACTCTATCAAGGACAACAGAGTGAGACAGTGTCTCAACAACAAAAAGGAGTAGCCAAATCATGAGCTTATAATCTTTTCTTTTGACCATACTGCTCCTTTATAACATTGGTGTGAATATCAACGTAGAATTTTTTGACTGTTATTTAAGCCATTTTAATTGCAGAATACAAAATTCCATCTTGCTCATTAGACCTGAGTTGACGAAGATGAAGTATGAGGTAAGAAGATAAAAAAAATAGTTTATGTAATGCACAAGAGGAACTTCATTACTTAAAAAGCCCTTTTATTTTGAAGATAGGTGCATTACAGCATTGTTCTTCACAGTCAGTATCCTGAGATGAATCTCAGCGCTGTCCTTTCTGAGCTGCTGTGTGCCAAAATAATCTCATTCTTTAGGGAGACAACACTCGACCTTGGTTTTGCTGTTTTGTAGTTATAGTAAAGCCAATATATTGTTGTTTAAACATACATATTTACTTCTTATCTTAAATAAGGATCAATTACAGTTTTCTAACTTAAGGAAATATCTCCAGGTATTAAGTAAATTACACAGTACTTTATGCTTCCTTTTCAGAATACTTTCCTTGTTTTTTTGGCCCTTCTCTGGCATACCCATTTAATTCCTCCCTTAACCCCCGACATTTTATATTGCCCTATTTCTTAGTTTGCTCTGGCTGCTGTAGCATAATGCCGTAAACTGGGTAGCTTATAAACAACAGAAATTTGTATCTCCCCATTCTGAAGGCTGGAAGTCCATGATCAAGGTACAGCAGATTCGGTGGGTAATAAGGGTCTGCTTTCAGGTTTGCAGATGGCCATCTGTCTAGTATACCGTGAAAGGGGTGAGAGATTTCTCTGGGGCCCTTTTTAAAGAACACTAATTGTGGTTCATAAGGGCTCACATAGCTTCACGACCTAACCCACCTCCCAGAAATTCCTCCTCTACCTGCGATCGGCGTGAGCATGTTACCGTGAATTGGGAGGATCCAAACATCCATACCGTAACACCCCATCCCAACTTTATTAATGCTTTTTTCTCATCCATTACAGTCTGACCTACTTTGTCGCTGACTCCGTTTTCTCCTGCCTTTTGCTCTGCTGTATCCCCTCGCATAGCACAGAGCGGGTTGTCGATAAACTTGCTATACTGCCACATTTCCCCCACTCCGTTTCTGCTACTCTTCATTTAAAACAAATGCCTACAGAGACCAGCATCCCGGAAACGAGTCTGTAGCTCAGTACTGTCAGATGAGCCGCCAGACAAATGTGTACTGTTGATGGACTCACTGACCACTAGGAAGTATTTCCTGTTTCAAGTGGAAAGAAGCTACCTTCATATATTTTTTTAAGAATTGTTGCTTTGGCTCGGCGCCTGTGGCTCAATCGGCTAAGGCGCCAGCCACATACATCTAAGGTGGTGGGTTCGAATCCCCAGCCCGGGCCCGCCAAACAACAATGATGGCTGCAACCAAAAAATGGCGGGCGCTGTGGCGGGCACCTGTAGTCCCAGCTACTT